TTGGAATCAACTTTGGTTGATTCGCCAACTGCACCCCTATCTGGACTGAAGGGACCTTGAAGCAGTAATACTTGCCCTGCTAATTTCTTGTTTGGACTTCTGTAACACGCTCTACATGGGGCTACCTTTGTACCAAGTTCGGAAACTTCAGTTAGTTCAAAATGCGGCAGCCAGCCTGGTCGCCAGAACATCTACGGCGGGCCATATTACACCTGTATTAAAAGCTCTTCACTGGCTGCCAGTTAGTTTCCGGGCGCAATAAAAAGTGTTGGTCGCTACCTTTAAAGCCCTACATGGCTTGGGTCAGAGTTAATTGAAGGAACGCCTCTCCCCACATAATCTGTCCCACACTCTCAGAACATCAGGGAAGAATTTACTGGAATACTACAATACCAGATTAAAAGTAACTTTCCAGAGATCATTCACAGCCGCAGCTCCTAAGCTATGGAACAGCCTACCAGAAGAGATACGTCTTATTACTACATTAGAAGCCTTTAAGAAAGCGCTTAAGATGGAGCTCTTCCAGTGGGCCTATCCACCTGATCTCCCCAATTGTAATTCTAAAGCATTGGTTCTCAACCTTTCTAATGCTGTGACCCCGCAATACAGTTCCTCATGTTGTGGTGACCCCAAACCAAAAAAAATTTTTGGTGGCTACTTCAAAAACTGTAATTTTGCTACAGTTATGATTCGGAATGTAAATACCTGATATACATTATGTATTCTCATTGCTACAAATCAAACATAATTTAAACATAGTGATTAATCACAAAAACAATATTTAATTATATGTTGAGAAATATTTATTACTAATTCCAATAAATAACATTTCACGTGTATGTATGTATATGTGTGTGTGTCCCTAAAGTACCACAATACTTTTTGTTACCGTTTTCGGCGGCGAGGGTTTAATAATACACTAATTCTCCCTATCACCACAAACACCACCGCTCCCTTCGGGAATAAACCCACATTGTAACCCAAGAGGGCCGCGGACGAAGGGGGAAAACAAAAACGAAGAAGCCTGGTACGGCTCCTCCTCCTCCTGCCATTGAGAGGCTCTCTCTCTCTCTTTCTCTCAGAGAGGACAGGAAGCGCCACAGGAGCAGTAGCACCAACCGCCGCCTCTCCCGCCTGAGTCGAATTTTAAACTGTGTGACTAATAAGAGCTCGCACAAAGCACCGATTGTGACGAAGGCCCTCGCTCACGCTGGAGGCGGGGGAGGAGGGGGCAAGACTCCTCTGGGCCGTTGCAGCCAATCCCCTCTCAGCTCTTCCTCCCCGCTGACCAATCGCGGTGCACGTTATTGGCAGGCAGGCAAAGAGCGTCCGTTGCGTGCTATGAGGGAGAGCGAGTTGGGAGCGTTGGGGGGGCAGTAACTCATTTCCTCTTCCTCCTCCTCCCTGTTTCTCTCTCTCTTTCTCTTTCCCCCCTTTTTCCTCCCTCCTCCTTTCCCTCCTCCTTTCTTCCCCTTCCTCAACTCTTTTGTTGGCATCTCCCTCGTTCTCTGGGAGGGCGGCAGCTGCGGTGACAAGAAGAAGAAGAGCCTGAGCCTTCTTCTGCTGCTGACGGTAGCACAACTTCTCAGCGGCTAAAGCCATCGGAAATATGTATTTTCCAATGGTTTTAGGTGACCCCTGTGTTTTAGTCGTTCGACCCCCACCAGGGTCACAACCCACAGGTTGAGAACCACTGTTCTAAAGGCTAATAGTACTACTTGATATGGCCTCCAGGATACTTGAAGATGACAACCAATCTGGTTACATGATTGCGTATTGGATTTTATTATATGGATTGTTGGTTTTTTATTATTGTTATGGTTTTTATTATTGTTATGATTTTATATATTGTATTTTTGTATATTATTTTATATTTTATATATTTTCCTGTAAATGTACATTGTCATTTTATCCAGCTGTTCTTTTCCTTAAAGGACTGATTCAGAGATTTATGAGGATGCAGTAGAACTTCAACAATTCTTTATCAAAATTCGTGATGAACTTTGCAAGAATGGTGAGATTCTGTTATCACCAGCTCTCAGCTACACTACTAAGCATCTCCATAACGATGTTGAAAAAGAGAAGAAGGAAAAACTCCCAAAGGAAATGGAGGAAGACAAGCTCAAAAGAGAAGAAGAGAAGAGAGGTAATTGTATTTACTATACATAGCTATACATTGTCACTATCTTCTATTGTGTGTTCATTCAGATTAGAAGATGGGTAGACCTATATCCTGTGTAGTCAGTTTTAACTTAATGAGCCTGATCACTGTGAGAATGAGAAGGTGATTTGTACAGTTTCAGGACACATTGTGTTTTTGTTGTTTGCTTGTTTGTTTGTTTTCTTTTTAAAGACCAGTTATCCCTTAGGTTTCTCATTTGCCTTCACAGTCTCTGACAGTAGGCCAGAATTCAAAGAAAATAATTTGATGTCTATAGTAAGAAACAATGTACCAGACGACAAATCATACTGCAAGCAAAACTGATGTGTCTTTCTGCACCAGCTTCCCACAAGGGATACAGTGTAATATAGTGTGGTAACTAACCAGGTTGTAAACATACACATTTGTATTTTTAAGCAGGTCTGAATCATGACAAATCTCAGCTGTTTCTAGCCTCCTTTCTCATAGGTTAGCATAGATAAATCTGTTTCTGCAAGCTAATTTTGACAAACTTGAAATGGGCACCATAGTGATGTTACTTGGTTGCTGATTACTTCCATATAGCTTCTCTGCATTTCTGATTTAGATGCCATTAAGACAAATACTCCTGACTTAAATTTCAGATTTGGGTTTTCCAACTAGGTTTCCACACTAAGCTGAATATATGAATGATTGTATATGCAGAAATAAAGGAGAGAAGACAGAAGATAAATGAGCCTCTGACAGGCACAGGGGAAAAATTAGCAGGTTGTTGCTTCATAAGATGTCTTTTGACTGGTAGTTTGTACTGCTGATAAGCTGGGTTCTGGTGATTAAATATACAATGATATCACTATTCATGAGGAGGAAATACTAACAGCCCCAGAGGTTCCAGTACTGAACATGAGACTTGAAAATGTACTACAAATTGTCCAGTATCACTTCAGAGAAGCATCCTAGTTCACCTCCCAGAGCAACTACAGAGCCATTATTGCCTTAGCAGGAGCAGTTTCAATCTGCATAACAGTCCCCAATAGATCTGCGCAACATAGCTACACATTAGAGTTTGACCATGTCTGACAGGGCAGGTTCATCCCCTGTTTCAGACCACCCATGAAAGTGGAAATGATCATTCTACCCATTCACTCTCTGCTGGATATAGATGTCAAGATATTGGTCTCTAGTCTACTAAATAGGGTGGTTGAACCCTTTCCTTCTGAAGAGATCTCCCTTTAATTCTATTCTGTTTTCTTCCTGTTGGCAACAGAAAGGGGGAGTGTGATCTATATGTGAACAGACTCATTACACACATTCAGTTTCTGAATGGAATCACTGCAGAGCACCTAGAAGTTTTTTTTTAATTTGTATCTATTTATTTATTTACTTATATCCCGCCCCTCTGCAGAGCAATCGGGGCGGCTTACAACATTAACATTTCCATACAGATAAAACATAAAACATAAAAATCCCGAATCCCACCCGTCCTATAAGAAGTAAGGGTTCTTCTTCTTCTTCTTCTTGATGGTGCTGGGCCTGTTGTCTTTCCCCCAGATGACATCAGATGGAGTGCAGGGAGGGCTCTCCTTCTTATTCTAGGCCCGATGGTGCTGGGCCTGTTGTCTCTCCCCCAGATGACATCAGATGGAGTACAGGGAGGGCTCTTCCCCATCAAGATGAATATCTGGCCTCTGTCATACTGATGAACACCTACATCACAATGTTGGAAGGGTCCCCTTGAACAACAGGTCCAACCCTCTGCCCAATGCAGGATTAGCAGCTAGAGGAGACCTGCCCAACTTGGTAATAGATAGGGGCCAATATTAAAATAGGCTAAACTTCTTCAGGCTGCAGATAGGTTTTTAGTGGCTCACTTTCCAAATTTCCACTTGAGGGATGACAGTCCACTCTTCTTCCGCCTCCACTGTCACCCAGTTCTTTCTCTGAAGAAAGCTAGGTGGTAAAGGAGCCTTGAGGGGCGATCATTGAGCCATGGCAATTAAAGTGGTATCAGCCTGGATTATTTTTGCAGTGTAGATTCAGACTGAAAGAAAGAAGCTGGTAGCATGAGCTTCTGTAGACTTCTTCCTCAGATGCATGAAGAACTTTCAGTTAGTTTCAAAGGTACTACAAGATCTTTTTGTGTACTAACTTTAAAGCTATATTTGTTTTGATTATTGTAAGCCACTTTGAGTCCTGGCCTGGGGAAAAGGCAGGATATACATAATTAATGATGATGCGATGTGAATGGGAGTTGCAGTCCAAAAACATCTCCCATCTTGGGAGTTCTTAATTTTCTTTTGCCATATAAGGTTGTTAATACACACATTTAAAGCCAAAGAAATTATATTAACAATCCGTTTCAGGTAAAGAGAAACTTCTACTCCATACTTATATTTGTGTGCACATACATGCCTTCAAGTTGCCTGCCAATTTACAATTACCCATGAATTTTATAGGGTTTACTAGGCAGTCTTCCATCCAAGTATTAACCAGGCCTGACCCTGCTCAGCTTTCAAGGTCAGATGGAATCTGGCGCCTTTAAATATTAAGCATGTTCTGGAGAGTGAAGGAGAGGGAAAATGAATGGAGGGGGGCTGCCCTGCTCCAACTTTCTGCTGCTCCAGAGAATAGATTGAAACTAGAGGAAAAGAGGTTCCACTTAAACCTTAGGAAGAACTTCCTTACAGTAAGAGCTGTTCAACAGTGGAACACACTTCTCGGAGAGTGGTGGCGTCTCCTTCTTTAGAGGTCTTATAACAGTGGCTGGATGGCCATCTGTTGGGGGTGCTTTGATTGTGTTTTCCTGCATGGCAGGGCATTGTACCCTTGTGGTCTCTTCCAACTCTTTCATGTGGGGTAAGGTAGCATGACGTAGTGGTTTGAGTGTTGGACTGTGATTCTGGAGACCAGGGTTCGATTTCCCCACTCCACCATAAAACCCATCGGGTGGCCTTAAGCAATTCATATACTCTTAGCTTCAGGGGAAGGCAATGGCAAATCTCCGTTGAACAAATCTTACCAAGAAAACCCCAGGATAGCTTCATCACCTTAGGGTTGCCATAAGTTGGAAATGACTTAACCACACCACAAAAAACAACAAAACCTCAAGAAAAAGCCAGTCTGGTGTAGTGGTTTGAGCGTTGGAGTATGACTTTGGAAACCAGGTTTAAATCCCTGCTTGGCCACGGAAACCCACTGACTGACTTTAGGCAAGTCATATTCTTTCAACCTCAGAGTGAAGCACTGGCAAAACCACTTCTGAACAAACCTTGGCAAAGAAAACCCCCTGATAGGTTTGCCTTAAGATTGCCATTAAGTCAGAAATGACTTGAAGATACACAACAACAACAAAGCCCCATTAAGAAAGCCAAGGTGATGTAAAGGTTTAAAGTTAGAGACCAGGGTTCAAATCCCCCCTCAGCCCACTGGGTGACCTTGGGCTAGTCACACTCTCTCAGAGGAAGATAAAGGCAGGCCCACTCTGAATAAATCTAACCAAGGAAAAAAACATGATAGGGTCGCCATAAGTTGGAATTGGTTTGGAAGGCACATAAAAATAATGCATAGGATTATAGTTTTTTGTGGGTTTTTTGGGCTGTGAGGCTATGTTCTAGAAGAATGTATTCCTGATGTTTCGCCTGTATCTGTGGTTGGCATCTTCAGAGAATGGTGGCATGGAAGTGTGAGGAGTATATATACTGTGTGACCCTTGATTGAGAGGATTAGCATGTATATCTGTGTATTGTTTTGTTGAGGCAAGGCCTCAGGGTGGGAGGATATGCGAGGAGGATTAGTGTCTATTTAATTAATGGTCCTTTATCTGCTGGGAAACCCCTTGACCCTGTGTGACATTTGTTAGCATTTGCTGAGTCCTGTTTTTGGTGTTTTTGAGGACTGGTACCCTAACTTTATATAATTTCAGGGTGTCTTCTTTCCTGTTGAAATTGTCCAGGTGTTTGTGGATTTCAATGGCTTCCCTATGCATTCTGACCTGATAGTTGTTGGCATGGTCCAGAATTTCAGTGTTTTCAAATAGCATTTTGTGCCTAGGTTGGTTTATAATACATAGGATTGCCATAAGTTGAAGCTGACTTGGAGGCAATGAACAACAACACAGTGCTGCTTTTAGGACCCGGCCTAGATCTGACGCCGCTTGAGACAGGAACACAGGACAACGCTGACAGAAAGGGAGGGGTGGGAAATTCCCTTGCCCCTCTCCCCCTCTCCCTTTCTCACCACACTCTCTCAGCCTCTCCTGTCCTCTCCACTCCCATGGAGCTGCTAACCAACTCCCCCAAATTGCTACAACTAAGGTTGTACATTTTTGTTGTTATTACTCTACAGATCTCTCTTCTTCCTCCTGGTGCATCCTCCTGCCTGAGTTGCCAGAGGTTTTTGTGGCAGCAGCAGCGCAACCTTAGCAATTGGATGCCAGGTCAAAGTGGAGCCTGACAGACAACACTCTTCCTCCTCCTCTCCCTGGACAGTTGCTAAGGAATCCAGTGGGCTGTGGCTGCCTCATGCTGGTGCTGCCATCACCACAGCCACCATGCAGGATTTGGAAGGAGGAGCAGGATGGGTCAGGTGGAGGGAAAGAGGGAAGAAAATCAGTAATGTCCACATCTGCATGGGCTGTCCAGCCTCTTTTTGAAGACATGCAGAGAAGGAGACCCCACCACCTCTCTAGGCAATTAATTCCATTGCTGAACCACTCTCACTGTCAAGAAGTTCCTTCTAATGTTCAAGTGAGATCTACCCTCATGTGGCTTCAAACCATGCAACCTCCTCTTTGTGGCAGTCTATGAAATACGTAGAGTATAATCATGTCACCCCTTAGTCTTCTCCTCACCAAGCTGAACATGCCCAGTTCCTTCAGCCTCTCCTCATACGTTTTGTTTTCCATAGGTCTTACCATCCCTGTTGCCCTTCTCAGAACTTGCTCCAACTTATCTATATGTTTCTTAAAATGAGGCACCCATTACTCCACAGTATTCCAGATGATGCATGGACATTGCATAATATAGGGCAGGGGTAGGCAACCTTTCCCCTTTAATGGCCGAGGGACTTCAGCTCCCAGAATCCCAGGAGCTATTGGCCAACATGGGACTATTGGCCAACATGGCTGAGGCTTCTGGGAGCTGAAGTCCCTCGGCCCTTAAAGGGGAAAGGTTGCCTATCCCTGATATAGGGGATTATTATTTCACTTGACTTGGAAACTATGAGGTGAAACAGACTGCCCAGAAGAAGCAGCTCTGCGCCACCCCTTTGCTCTCCAGATCGAGGCCGCAGCAACTGCATGCTGTGGCCCCAATCCGGCTTTTTTCCAGCAGCAAAATGTCACTTCTTTTTGGGTTGGAAAAAAACACGGCCTTGTCGCCGCTATAGTGGCTCTTCCGTGTTTCTGTGGTGCAGGGCGTATAAATGCCATGCTGCAGAATTGTGATGCCACCTACCTACCGTCTGGTTGGGTGAGTGGCGTGACTCCGCCTTGGAGGCAGAGTCAGGGTGTGTGTCGTGTGGTTGCCACACCCCATGCCACCCCCAAGCCAGCTCTTACTGCCAGTCTGCTTTCCCCCTATGTTTCTGTTAATGCAGGCTAAGATAACATTTGTCTTCTTTGCAGCAGCATCACAGTGCTAGTTCATGTTTAATTTATGATCAACAGTAACCCTAAGGTCCTTTTTGCATATAATATTGTTTATCCAAGTATCCTATACCTGTGCATTTGGTTTTTGTGGCCTAAATGTAGAATTTTTGCATTTTTCTCTGTTGAATTTCATTTATTAATTTCATCACACTTTTCTAGTTTATCAAGGTCCTTTTGATGTCTGTGCCTATCTTCCAATGAACAATGACATACAAAATCCACAAAACAGTGATACCTTTATTGGACCAACAAAAATGGACTATATACATATTGCAAGCTTTTGAAGCTCCACTGACTTCTTCATCAGGCCATGTTGTTAAAAATAATACAGGAGGAATATATATATATATATATATATATATATATATATATATATATATACACAGAGAGAGAGAGAGAGAGAGAGTGTAGTGAGAGATTTATAAAGTCCCGGAAATAAAATTTAAATTTAGTTACCAAGACAAAACGACAAAAACAAAGTGAATATCAAGGGAGTATCTTTTTGCCTTTCTTTTGCATTGCCACACATACAATGTGCTTGTGGTGATTTCACTAGTGGCACAGATAGCTTATCACTGCAGGTCTCTTGCTATATAGATGCAGTGACATTTGCAAAATGTTCTCTTTCTGCTCTTTTCCTTTCCTCTCTTCCTAGGAGTGTGTAGATCTACCCTGGTCAGTGCTCACTGCATTCTACCTACAATCAGTTGAAGCATCTTTCTCCCTGACATATTAAGACCAGCCCCTTTCCTCACACTACATGGGCAAAGGCATGTTGCTTGATATGACTGGTGTCAGTAAAGCCCCAAGCGCTTAACTCTATACAAAATAAGCCCTTTGTGTGCAAAGTTGTACATACCACAGAGGCTTGTATCATTAAATTGACTGTAAACTCTTCCTTTTGTTTTTTCTCTTGCGTTGAATAAGAAGCTGAAAAGAGTGAAGATACTTCTGTTGGATCAGGGCTATCTAGTTTACACAGGACATATAGTCAAGACTGCAGCTTTAAGAACAGCATGTATCATGTTGGAGATTATGTTTATGTTGAACCTGCAGAAGCCAATTTACAACCTCATATAGTCTGTATTGAACGACTGTGGGAAGATTCAGCTGGTAAGAAAGAAAGTCTTCTTAATTTTTGGTGATTTTTTAAAAATGCCTTTTAAAAAATGTGTACAACAGTGTGTGTATGTATGTATTGTGGTTTCAGCAGGGGACCTAGATGTCATGCCAGAAGACCTACTGCCTTCAACCTTTGCGAATTTAACCTCCACAGATTTAATTAATCATGAGTTTGTAACTGCTGCTTAACTAGTTTGTCCTCGTCTTCTCCATCTTTTTCTGGCCAACTGTCCTGGCCCATTATTTCTTTTGCCGCCTTGACACCATGATACCTCTCCCTCGCTCTGAGCCTTCCTGCCTCTACCTTCTGGGATGATGACACTGAAGGACATTTTTGCAGCACCCGCAGCACTTATCTCTCTGCCATCTCTTTCAGTGTTGCCATCCTAGGAGGTGGAGGAAGGGAAGGAAAGCTTGGAGACTGGCTGAGGTGATGGAGAGCTGGCAGAGGCAACCTTGGCGTGAGGCATATGTGTTCTGGTACCAGAGCAGCAAAGGGGGTAATGCGTTGGGGCTAGTGGCAGGAAAGGAGATGGAAAGGAGGAGGAAGATAAGTCACTGCTGCTGCCAGGTTAACCCTGCCACAGCTGCTGCAAAAATCTCCTTCAGTGATGCCTTTCTTCTCTTCCTTCTCATGCTCATCATTAATATGTTTATTGTGCTAGCCAATGGTCTTGAAAAAAAGCTTAAATACACAAAACATTTAAGATCAAAAGTTAAAAAAAGGCACTATCTTCCTTCTCCATGAGAAGGATAATGATCCTGAAGGCAATTTTTGTAGCAGCAGCTGGGAATTTTAGTCTGTAACATGCATGTTGAGGGGGTGGGGCTGGCTAGAGATATTCACAGGTTTTGCACTTTCATGAGGTTCCTGTGCCCCTAACCCACACAGAAGTTGAGGGCAGAGTGTATAGGTCCATAGATACCTACAGTAATTCCTAATGACTGAATGGTTACATGCATGTAGTTAAATGTCACACCCCCTGTCTCAGTGTTAATACAATACAGATATATATGACAGGACGTAATGAAAATGTGACCATGAAGTTTTCCTTTTAGAATGGTAGAATTCTGAAATCATACTGTGCAAAGGAAAGTATTGTTGGTCTTGAGATGCCCTCATAGGATCTCCTTCTGTTTCCTTGGAGTTAAAACAGAAAGGAG